AAGGCCTCGTCCACGAAGCCCTCGCCACGCAGTACCACCCCATCCGCCGGCACCTGGGTGCCTCGGACTACTTTCAACAGGTCCCCCCGCTGGACCAGCTCCACAGGGATCATCTCTTCTTCCTCCACTGCCGACGGCCCGGCAGCCGCGTCCGCGTCGCCGTCGACCTGACCGACTGCAAACCCGCCGCCGTTGCCAATCCCTTCATAGTCGCTGGTGCTCGCGGGGCCTCGTCCCTCGGTCTGCTCGACCGGATCCCACTCTTCTCCCTCCTCTCTCACCCGGTCTTTCACCACAAGAAGCAAAGCAACCTTGGGCGCGATGTCCATCAGCTTGGTCAGGGCCGTGCTCGTCCGCTTCTTGGCGGCGTGCTCCAGATACTTCCCCAATAGGATGAAAGACAGGAGCATGCAGCTCGTCATGAAGAAGTCGCTGTTGCTGGGCAGCACCCATCCGCTCGCCCAGGCCCTGAGCAGCGAGAAGACAGCGAAACCCCAAGCCGTCGTGGTCCCCATGGCCACCAGCAAGGCCATCCCGTAGGAGCTCCCACGTAAGCCCTTGTAAGCCTCGCGGTAGAACACGGCACCCGCCCCGAACTGGACAGGGGTGGAGAGAACGAAAAGGAGAAGTTCACGAAAGGGGGGAAGAGTGGGGGGCATGGAGGGGAAGAGGGTCGAGGAGGGGGCCATAGCCAAAAGAGCGACGGGCGCCGAGAAGAACAGCGCAAAGCACAGCCGGTGCCACGCCTCTCGCAGGTGGGCTTCCTGCTTGGCCGCCAGACTCAGAGCTGGGGACGATGGGGAGGGTCCTTGGGGAAGGAAGCGAGCCGCGTATCCATTCCGGCGCATGGCGTGCATTAAATCCCGCAGGCCCACCAGCTCCGACTCATAGGAGACCGCCACCTGCACCCTATCCCCCTCCACCCGCCCCCGCCCCACGCGCAGCGAGGAAACCGGCTCCCGGAGTTCGAGGGCCAGGACACCCTCTGTCCCCGCCAGACCCTGGTATAGCCCCGCCAAGAACTTCCGCCGCTCCCTCTCCCGCCCCGTCGCTTCCCTGCTCCCGTCTTCCCTCACCGTGGTCGGCACCTGCACCTCGAAGAGGGCTGTAGAGAGGCTCTTGACCCCGTCCTCTTTGGCGCTCGTCCGCAGGGAAGCCTCGTAGCCCACCGCTTTTATGGCGGCCGTCAGTTTTTTGGTATCCGTGACCTCCGAGTCGAAGAGGACCTCGGCGCGCTCGGACAGAAGGGCCACTTTGGCAGTCACCACCCCCGGAACGCGGGCCAGGGCGGTCTCCAGCGTGGAGACGCAGGCGCCACAGGTCATGCCCCTCACGTCGAAGACCGCCGTGGCGTCCCCCAGGTGCCCCACCCCCCGGGAACGGGGGCCGGGCGGGCGCGGCAAGGCCTTTCCCAGGGAAGGGGCCGTGAGAGCAGGGCAGGGGGCGGTGGACGTGGGGGCGGTGCCGGGGAGCAGGGGCTGCTGCTGGCGCCGGCGGGGGGAGGAAGGGGACGGCGAGGGTACCGATGAGGACCTCGAGAGGCATTCCAGGGTTTGGATCCGCGCTCTCGCCTCCTTGGCGGGGATCTCTCTCGCCGCGAAACCTGCCTTCCCCACGGCCGTCACCAAGGCCGGGGCCTTCCCCCCCTCGCACCCTCCCACAGCTCTTCCTTCTCGCGCTATTTCACTTTCCCTCCCTTGCATTTCCGATCCCCTACAGCGAACGCGTACCCTCGCGAGCATCAAGTGGCTGCGCCTATCCTCCTCCACCACACAGGCACAGACCACGCCCTCCGCACCTCGCAAGGCGTTTCGAGCCCTGCTTCGGCTCGCCCGTTCGTCCCTCCATCCACCCCCCTCCCCTTCCCCTCCCTGTCCTTGCCGCTGCATGGGCCACACCTCAAGGCCCACCTCCACCACTGTCGGCTCCGAGCTCTCCCTGGCTCGACGAGACTCCTCCAGCTGCCGCTCAAGCTCTGCCAGCAAGGACTTGGCGGTGATCGCGCGTGCCTCCGCCTCCTCCTCCTCCTCCTCCTCCTCCTTCACCCCACCCCCTTTATCCTTGGCCCTTTCGCAACACCTTTCCGCTTCCTTCGTGGCTCCACTGCCCTTGTCCCCGTCGGCGATGCCCGTCCCCTCCCGGACCGCCGCCAGGTCCTTCGTGCTCCCGCCCAGAGAGCCCTTATGCCCCATCAAAGTCAAGTAGTGCCCCCGCCACTCCAACCCCACGCTCTCCACGGCTCTTTTCAACTCGTCGACCATGCTGCCCTTCCTTTGTCGTCCTTCCTCGTCCTCAGTCCCCCCTCCCCCCTTGACCCGCACGCTCACCACACCAGCTTCCAGGTCCACGTCCACAGACCCGGCTTCCACCACCCGCAATGGCTCCAAAGCTCGGGTCAGCTTACGCACGCAGGACTGGCATGTCATCCCTCCCACCGATATCTCCACTTCAGTGCTGTAGGGGTAAGCCCCGGCTGCTTGGTCAGTAGCTCCCGCTTGTCGTCCGTCCCGGCCCTTCCCTTCGCCGTGGCTATGTCCTGTTTTATCGCCCCCCTGCACGACAGACCCTTTACCAGAGTCGCCGTGTCCCTTTTGAGTGTCCTCTACGTCAATCACTCGCTGGATGTCGTAGCCGATGTCCTTGACGGCCTTGCAAATAGCACTCAAAGTCTCGGGAGGCGGGGGGCCGGAATTCCTCAAGCTAACTATGACAACTTCATTGGGAAAATCTACGGTAGCCTCCTCCACAAACGGCAAAGCAGATATGGCCCGCTCTACATTTCTTCCGCAATAGTCCATGCACAGCAAACCCACTACATGCAAACGTACGGTACTGCCCGATATTCCATTCCCGTTCCTGGGAGACGCTTTGGGTGTTGTGTGTGTTGCCGCCGATGACATGATAAAGCGCTTTCGCAAGCCAAACGACAGCAAACAGAAGATTTCCCCCCTATGGAAGCGTTCCTGTCTGTGTACGAGCATAGGGTGAAGGATTAATGATTGCTCGGACATCTCCTTGGGAGGTGAAGTCTCGGCAATCACGCCACTCGTTGATTCTTCACCATTCGGCAGAGGCAATGATTTGGTCCATTGATGCGATTCATACATGGACCAGTGAGTTATACGTAGGAGTGGGACCGCATATGTACATGCTAGCGGTGGGTTGAAGCCAGACATCATGCAATAAGAACAGAAGGCATCCGATCGAGGACGAAGGCGCCGCCGGACACGAACGACTGTCTTGGGTTGTTTTACCAAAAAAGATAAGCACTTTCTTTGCCCATCGCATTCGTCTCAATACGAGCTTATGCGCACCGATATCCTCCGACAACTTATGATTGTCGTCGTGTCAAATTACCGGAATAGAATGCTTTTTTATTGCAATGTTTCCTTTGCCCATGACCTCCCCACCCACAGCATTGGTCGTGTCTACTTATTTCGCACGTCGACAGGCTTTTTCGACGTACAGCGATGATTGCGCTCAGAATTAGACAGAAGGACGTGCTCGCAGCAACTTCGATGGTGCCTGTCAGATTTTTTTCATTCTTTTGCCTCGGGCCTTCATCATGCCTTCATCACTCTACTCTTCCAGCCCGCCCGCTCAGGGGTTATCAAGTCGCTGGACGGTTTCCGTGTGCGGGGAAATTGAGAATATGCATCGCATTTTCGTCAAGGAGAATTTCCACCCATACGACCCTGTACTCCATGGGCGAGGTGTGTGCATGTTTTTCTCGCTTCACAGAAGTCCCGGTAGACCAGGTCCTTTGTGCATTCACCTCATCCCCATCCCCCTCTTTGTCGTGACCTCGCAGCAACCTTGCTCAATCAACCATGCTCTCCCTCTTACGACTCCTGGAGATAGACACACGTAGCCTATGCGGGTTGTACCTGTCCCCCGCCACTCCCATCATGCCGACTCTTTCTTACTGTGGATCCTCCCCACCATTCGGTTCAGGGCTACATGGGGACCTTGGGCCACGGCGATTTCCAAGACAGAACCCCCTTGACGCCTATCGACGCCCTTGCTCCATACCAAATCAAGGATTTCGCCGCGGGATGGGCGCACACGGCGGTCGTCAGCAGCTGCGGGCGCCTCCTCCTCTTCGGACGCCCCCACGACGTACGCAAAGCCCTCAGTCTCCGACACATGTGGCAGTCCCTCCCCTTCCTCGTCCGAATCCACCAGGCGATGAAGCGGTTGTTTGACAGCCCCAGGAAGGGCTCGGCCGCCTTCCTCCGAGAAGATGTACTGCTCTCTCCCCGCGCCTTTCCCCTGCCCGAGGGAGAGCGCCCGGTGAGAGTCGCCTGTTCGGGCGCCCTCACGGCGATTATCGTGGCCAGTGGGCGAGTCTACTGCATGGGCCAGAACACGTTTGGCCAGTGTGGTGTGGGAGGGACTGTGCTGATCCCGGGGGTCGGGGGGTCGGGAGGGCGGGAGGGAGAGCGTCCAACGCCGCAGAAGATGGCAGCGGCCGACGTAGCGAACGTGTGGACCGCGATGGTGCCTGTGCAGGGACTGGACGAGGAGGAATTGGAGGAGTCAGAGGTTGGAGAAAGTGGGGAGAAGGGCATGCGGCGCGTTAGAGATCCGGTGGTGGACATAGCTCTAGGCTTTCAGCATGCGGTGTGCTGCACCGCCTCGGGGAGGGCCTTCGCCTGGGGCAAGGGGGAGAGAGGACAGTTAGGCAATGGCGTGGCCGTCAATCACAATGCGGCCTGTCGCGTGGACCTTCCGGAGGGAACCAGGGTGGTCAAGGTGGCGTCGGGCTTCAACCATGCGGCGGCTCTGGCGGAGGGGGGGATGGTGTGGATCTGGGGCAAGTGGCAAGGCCTGGGGCGTCGGAGCGAGGGCACCGGGAAGGGGTCCGAGCTCTATGAGGACCAGCTGCTGCCGCGGGAAGTGGAGCTGCCGGGAGGGGTCGATGGTTCAGTGGAGGACGTGGGGTGCGGGCATTTCCACACGAGCGTGTTGCTGCGAGGCGAGGGGACGGGGGCAGGGGCCTGGCGGCTGTTCATGTTTGGAATGCGGTCGCATATCCGATCGATGGAGCCCAAGCCGACACCCGTATCTTTGCCGGAGGTAAATTTGAAGGGAAGCGGTGAAGTGCGATGGCGGTTTGGGACGGGGGGAGGGATGGCGCACACGCTCTTGGAATGCGTAGATGACGAAGGGGTCCTAGGCGTGTACAAGGCGGAATTTCAGGGGGAATGGACGCAATTTGTGCCGGTGTGCTCTCAATGGGAGGCGAAGGGCGAGGGCGAAGAGGCGGGAGGAGGAGGAGCTGACGAGGACAGCGAGAAAGGGAGGAAGCCGCGGAGGCAAAGAAGAATGCTCCGGTACGGGGAGGGATTGATACATCGACTTGCGCTGATGAAAGAGGAAGATGAAACAAAGTAACAAACCGTTATAATTTAGATCCGGAAGGCGATTTGCATATCCAAATGAGTTCCATCGTAAGTACGTTCCCACCCGACGATCTGACAACGGGCTATTTAAACTTCCTTCTGATTTTTTTCACTTTAGTTATCCCATTTAAGCAAAAAAGCGAGACAAGCATAGCGGGCGAGGAAATGCAAAGAGATAGGGCGCACCAAACTTTCGACGTGAGTTCCACGACTTTTGTCCTATTACTTCACGTTCTGTCCTTGTTTTTGGGGGGATCTCGCGCACAGGCAAGCTTGCAGCATCTTTCGCAGTTTATTAAGGAAAGAACAGTATGCGTAGCATTTGTAAAAGGTGAAGGTCACCAACTTCCTCCCTTCCATGCCCTATCTTTGGATCCACGATCAGTAGGAACGTAAATCAGGAAAGTAGGGGACTACTAGAAGTGGATGGGACAAGCTTCCGACGGCTCCAGCGATGCGTGCGTGGTAGATGTGATGATGTTGTTATATTCGATCCTCGTCTATATGAGGTTGCGCCATTCTGGAGCCGACAAGCCCTCTTTATATTTCATGTTAGATATTAGAGTGTCGGGTGTGTGAGAAATAGAGGGAAACGTGGGGCATTTTTCCACTCAAACCCCGGTACGATCACCAAGGTGCAAGTCTCGGACATGCGTCTTGAGAGACATCAGATCTTGCCGAGTAGCTTCCCATGATTTTTCTCGCGTACGTAGTATTCTTCACAGATGCCTCCATCTTCTTCCCGTCGCCGTCAGCCGTCCCTGAGTACCTTAGCCACCACTGCCACGACCATCCTGCTTTCAACGACGGCGACAGCATCGCCTCCAGTGCGTACCATGGCCCGAGCATCGTTGGCCTTCACAAGTCCTCTCCATGCATTGCCTAGGTGTATTAAGAACGCCCATCTCCATTCTTCTCCGTTCCATCTTCCTTCTCAGCATGCACGCTCTGACTTGCTCCGCC